TGATTTAATGTGAGTGGTTTTGCTACCCATTTTTATAATGTTTTGATCTTTTTCTAAGCACCTCTGTCTTTCTTCCCTTTCCCCCTCTTTGATGAGAGGAGATCCTGCTCCCAGCCTGCTTAGAGTCTCTCTTTAACATTTATATCACAGAATTATCAAGAGGGGCCGAGGGAGCCACGCATGGCATTCTGCTCCAGAAACCACCCCGTCTCTTCTTGTCTTCCCTGGCTCTTCCTGCACTAATGCTGTACGCACTGCATGTGTTACATGAGAATTATTTTTGTGGGGCATTTTTATGTTTTATTGTTAAGGCGCTAATTTATTTAGACAGCACATTAAAAATAAAACTACCTAGCACTCCCATTAACCTATTTCTCATTCATTTTAATTTGTATACAAACAATATGAACAGAAAATTTTAAAATGCAGGTGAACAAAGAGGAAAAACATTTGAACTCTTTTATTTTCACTGTCAGGTATACATAGCAGCTGTTAATAATGGGGTTTATGGCCCCGTAGTTCATTTCTATGTATATAACTACTTACCTTTTCTTTAAAATGGCATTATATGTAATCAATTATGTTGTGACCTGATTTGTTTAATATTTAATATAGCATGAATATTTTTCTATGCCATCACATATTGATAATATAAGTAGCAGAGTTTACTACATGCCAGACACCAGACTAACTATTATATATATATTAACCCATCCTCTCCTCACAACATGCTATATGTTGGGTAGTGTTATAAATCTCAGTTTTAGGTAAAAAACACTGAGTCATGGAGAGATGAGATCACTTGCTAAGGTCACAAGCTCCTGAGTGACAGAACTAGGTTCTGAACCTAGATAGTCCAGCTCTGGAGGCCATGCTCTCAACCACACAGCTCCGATCCACACCATCGTTTTCATGGCGATAGTATATGATCATTTATCTAACCAATGTTATACACAGAACAGTAATGAACAGCTTGTTCGTTGCTCATCTCTGTTCATGTGTTCTCTTACAACCTCAGGTTGAATTCCCATCAATAGAATTGCTGAGTCAAAGAGTTGGCATATTTTTTAAAGTTTGGATGCATATTGGTCAATATTTTTAAACAATGTCTTTCCTAAGCCTTTTGAATCCCTATCATTCATTATTTTTTTTAAAAAAAAATGTATAACTGTCTTTTGGATTTAATGATCTTTTTTTTTCTTAAAACATGGAACTTTATTCCACCTCCTCTTCCTTCCTTCTGCATTTTACCCATTTCTCTCAAATGTTTAACAAAATAATGCCCTTTCCGGTAGCATCAGGCCTGATGTTGTCAGGACTTCCAGTGCCTTGCACCTCCCGGAATTTAACCATTAGATGGGGGTATAAGCACAGATGGGAGGCTGTTCATTTGACTCAATGTCAGTTTTCTGTGCTATTCTCTTTTGCTTTCTCCATTTTATTTTTTCTTTTAAACTTCACAAGAGTTGAAGTAACAAATCTGTCATATATTTTTTCCTGATTTCAATATATGTAAATGAGGGTGGCCTGCCTAGCAAGGATGACTGATGTGTCGGAGGCCCGGAAGGCGGGGCTCCCTACTCTTGTTTTATGACCTTGAGAAAGCTGCTTCATCGGCTGCATTTTCTTTTCCTTATTTGCCAACATGAGGAAGGTGAACCAAATGGTCTGGAAAACCTATTCCAGGAATTTTTTTTAAGTGTCAGGCTACCCAAGAGTAAACTAGATTTTTTGAAAATTTTTGTGTGAAATTGGGGCAAATGTGCATGTTGGTGGGGTGGTGTTGGAGGCAGGAAAGATTTGTTTCAACGTATTAAAAATACTTGTGCCTGGTCCCTGGACCAAGGCCTCCTAACAGTGTGCTTTAGTGGTTTGGGAAACGTGCCTCCAAGACCAAGGTAATTATAGTTGCTCCACTGACGCATGACAAATGGCCTCTGACTGTGAATTCTTTTATGGGAGAGAAAAACCTTCCATGACAACAGCACTGGAACTTAATTACAGGCCCCAGACCTGGAGGCAAGAATAGAGATAGTCATGGGCTGCAGTCAAGGGAGCGAGGACAAGAACATGAGCTCACCTGGCAAGAGCCAGCACGGGGTGATGTCACAATGACAATATTCGTGGCACTTCATTGAGAACTTGCTATTTGCCAGGTACTGTCCCAAAAACTTTATATGCATGATCTCACTTAATTCCCATAATAACCCTAAGAGATAGGTTATGAGGCAAGTACTTTTATTTTTTTTCTGTTTTATAACGATGAGTATTGGGAGACTCTTAAAAGGAGCTAAGTAACCTGCTCCAAGTTAGTTGTCAGAGGTAAGATTTGAACTCTGAAAGCTTTTTCATTTACTTAATATACACTTTTTGAATGTCTTGTATATGCCAGGTACCTAAGGGCTGGTCATGCACAAGGGAAGGAGGCAAAATTCCTGCTTATATGAAGTTTAATAGTGGGATGAGACCAGCAATAACAAGTCAACAAATCAATAAGTAATTTCAGTTGGTGATCAGTGCTATGACGGGGAGGGACTGGGGTTGGAGGGGAAGCTACTTTACACAAAATGACAGGGAAGAACCACCTGGAGTTGACATTTGATCTGAGCCCTACACAATGGAGCCCATCACCCATGCAAAGACCTGCTGGAGACCATTTTACCTGGAGGATCCACAAGAGCAAAGGCAGGGCTCAGAGAGCTTTTGTTCCAGGAACAGAGAGAAGGGCAGAGTGGTTGGGTGATAAATGAAAAAGGGGGAGATGTCTACAATGGAGCCAAGAGGTGGACCAAGCCCAGATGGCACAGGGCCTTGTAGGCCACAGTGTGATGTTTGCGCTTTATTCCAGATGCAGAGGGTTTTAAGCAAGGGAGCGTTATATTCTCCAGTCTCTATAGGCGGCTTTCTTCACCTCTATGATATGTTGCCAACGAATAGCAACTGGAAGGTGATCAATTGTATATGTGAGGGGCAGTCTAAAGGAAAGTTAGAAAGTTTGGAGCCAGTGTTTCAGATGAAGCAGAAGTCTAGGTTTTTCACAGAACAGCAAGACAGAAATGGGCAGTGACAGTCACCTAATCCGAACCTATGACTTTAGGCAAGGAGACCGTAGGAAATCCAAGTTGAGCATCTGAACTGTATTTTCAACCCTGAATAAGGAGACTATCTCTTATTTGGGGACCATCCCTCAAAATGCAGGAAGTTGCAGTCTAGGTTTTGACCATTCTTGACCACTCTTGGTCAGGGGTTGTGCTTGCCTCATGGTATAAATCTCATCCAAAATAACAAGACATTGCAGCTTTGCATAAATGATATCTCAGGGATTTACATTCCTATGTCATTTGATGTGTGTGTGTGTGTGTGTGTGTGTGTGTGTGTATGTTAATCTTTATCTTTGAAAAATGTTTTTGAAGGTGCCATCAACATTTTAACATATAAGATCTGGCTTTCTGGTAAGGTGACATTGTATGGATAGTTCTAGACTTTTATTCTCAATTTATAAACTTAATTTATTTTCTTTGAATGTTCTTTATAAACAAACACTCATGATAACCCATTAAATTGGTTTATGTAACATATAGGACAAGATTACTTGCTTTTATAGGTCAAAAGCTCACTATTTTAAGATAGTGTTCTCTTTAGTTGTGCTTACTTTGACAAAAGAATTAATAGCTTTGCTTTTATTCAGCAAACTGAGTTTGAATAACAACCTAAGCCCTTAGGAATGCAGTGTGTGTGTGTGTGTGTGTGTGTGTGTGTCTGTCTGATTCTCTATCTGTAGGTTTCTGGCAGTGCAGGCCTAACAGTACAGATTTATTTGAATGAAATTACCTTTGGAGGCATTTAGTTGCCTCTGTGATAGGATGGGCCCCAGAGAGCAAGTTATTAATTGTGGAAGAATTTAATTGAAGCTACCCATGTGTAATTGAGTAGGATTGGGGAACGTTCACCACTCTTGAGTTAGGTTTTATTTGTAAGTAATATATTTGTTTCTCAGCAGGGGAAAAAATACTCAAGCTACCTTATGCCTGAGGTTAGCAGAGTTCTGTTTCTTTGCACCAAACTAGTATGTGACGGTGGCACAAGGACAAGGACAGCATGAGGGTGGCTGTGGGATGCCGTGGGAGGGTGGGACGACGAAGGCAGAGCTTCCTGCCTAAAGGTGTGAATGAGAGAACTCGGCAGGTTCCCCCAGCTCAGCTCAACAGTCTGATTTGGGGAAAGATGTTCCCTCTGGCTGTTTAAGCTGGAGCGTGTTCCACCTCGGCCTTCGCTGGGAGCGGGAGCACTAATAATTCCGTCAGAATTATAAATCCAGCTGTCAGCACTGGGACTGTTGAGTCAACCGAACAAGCAGATTTTCTTCCATTGTCTGTTTTTCAGGCTGGTGAATAACAATTTCATCCTCTCCATTTTGTCGTAACTCTTTCGCTCTGACACTTCTGATGGCGGAGAGGTTTTCTCGAAATTTCTAGTCAATTCAAGGAGATAATGCGATTCCAATTGAATCGTCAGTGTCTCCGCTGTCAGACCCAATCTTTTCGGAGTTGGTTGAGTCACACAACCTCCCAGATTTAATATTTAACATACTTGCCACTTTGCGTCTTCCCTCAAGTCTTAATAAATGGGCTAAAGGTCTGATTGGAAACTGTGAGATAAATTATATGTTTATTATGCCAAGTTAAGTAAATACTGTTTGAAAGGATGACTGGAGGGTACAATCAAGTTAATTGCTTTAAAAACCCTTTTGGGTTTACTGGGCTCTATGAAAATGGTTAAGTAATTGATTCTGCACGGTAAGTGATCTGAAGGAAGGGGTGTTGGGTCCATGAGGTTGCCATGCACACTTCGTCCCTCATGCCTGGGACTGCCCAGAAATGAGTGGAGGGGCCCCGAGACCCAGTGCAAGTGCTGCTGACACACTGTTGTTCCTCCAGAGAATGTACATGTTGACAGTTGGATGGTCAGGCTGACGGATGGTTGTCTTTCTTTTACTCTAGATGCTGAAGAATACCAGCCTCCGATATGGAAATCTTACTGTGAGTACCTGAAGTGGGGATTTCCCCAGCCCCTGCAGCAGGCCTGCCTGGAGAGCCATTCCGGCTGTTGATTTAGTGCAGCAAGCAGCCCCATCTCACGGCCCGGAAGCCCTTTGTTTTTCCATTAGGGAGAGAGAGTGGTCAGAGCCGTCTGGAAAAGCACTCTCCCCCGGCCAGGACCCCCAAGGACCGCTGCCTGCGACCCACTTGGGGATCCTTATTAGAAAAAGAAGCCTCTGATTTAGGGTTTTCTTTCTTCTTTGTTTCTTTTTTTTTCTTCACATTTGGTCAGCAAGGGTAAATGTTGAGTTCCTTGAATTATGTTCTTGGCCAATATCTTGTGGCTATAAAATCCTATGACATTTACCACAAACAGATTAACAGAAAGCAAAGAATAACGTTGGGTCACTAAGGGTGACTCCTTAGAAAGAGATCATTGTCTGATCATCGGTCACCGTGCAACTTTCCCTCATGAAGGCAGACAGTTGTCATCACTTCAAGCTCCTTGTCTCCTTGATATCATCCACCCGGCTAAGTGCGTCCCCTGTCAGAGAGGAAGGAGTGCGGTAGGTGGAAGCCCATTGTGCCGAGAGCCAGGGACACAGGTTCTTGTTCAGGCCCTGCTTCCAGACAGCAATAAAACATAATTATTACTATTGTTATTGATGTTGCCGTTGTTTCTACTGCCCACAGAGACCTGCCGTGGGTCAGCTGCTGCACTAGCTACGTGCCTGAACTCCCAAGTTCTCCCCGCAGCCCTAAGCAACGGGCACCATTACTATCCCCGTTCCATTCATACAAGGAACAGCTCAGGGAGGTTCTGTAACGTGGCAAAGGTTTTACCAAAAGCCTTGGAGTGGAATTCAGAGTGGAACCCACAGCCCACCAGTTTCCAAGCCTTTTTTCCTTTCTTTTTCAAATCTTATGCAGACATGTATGTGTGTGTGTATATATATACACACACACACACACACACACACACGCACACACAAGACACACATATATGCAATATCGATGTATATATTTGTTACAAAAGCAATACAAAGCTTCATAACAGGCAAATATCACAGAAATACATAGAGCTAAGCATAAAAATTTCCCATCATCCACAAACCACCCTCTCCCCATATTCTATTCCTCTTTCCAGTAGCTGACCCCCTCCATTTTGAAAGGCATATCCTTCCAAATATATTTGAAATGCACATGCCCAATATTAAGGCATTTTGCTGCTGTTGCTTCCGTTTGTCAAAATGGGTGTCCTTCAACTTGCTCGTTTCACTTCACAAATATCTCGTCTTTATCTTTTCATGTCAGCATGTATGCAGGCATCTCATTCGTTATTACATGAGTCTGTTCTTCCATCTGTGAAATAAAGGGCTTGCGCTGCGTCTCCAAGGGCCCTTCTGACCTACTGTTCTGTATTCTGATCTTCTCTTTTAAAAGCCAGTGCTAATGACTTAGTAATTGGATGTTTTTGTTTGTTCCCTAATGGAGTGTGAAGTGCTCTGACAATAAATCAACAAAATATCTGTAGCGAGAGGTATTGTATGTTCCATGACTTACCGTGCTTTGCACACTGCCTTCAAACATTAACTACCCAATAGACATTTGTTGAGTGAATGCCACTGCAGGGAACTTTACTGAAGCGAAAAGACGGCATTGGCTCAATTTCATTTCACCTTTTGCTAAGAGACCTTGGATCAGCCAATATAGCTCTTAAAAACACTTCTATGTCCTAAGGAAGCTAGAAGAGGTGTTAATAATAATATATTCACAATATCAACTTTTACTTTAGTGTTTTTTAAGTTTGATTTTTGGATCTAACCAAGTTAGGTTTTTATTTGCTCTAGAATCATAAAACTTTAGATGCAGAAGGGATGGTTGAGGCCATTTAATATAAAGCTAATGACATATAAGAAGTTCCTCTTTATTTCACCCCACTATTAGTCTTCCAGGCTCTATTTGAGGGAGTCTAGTCATTTGGAATTCCAAAATCAAGGGAGTATGCCATCAGCGGTGCCATCCATGTCATCAAAACTCATTGACCAAAGGCCTACAGAGCACCACTGAAAAAGAACTTTCTTTTGTTTGTCCTGGATCCATGAATTGTTTGAGTCTGGGTGTTGGACCACTTATTAACTCTCTTGAAATATTCCCAAACTCATGCTACTCCATCTTACTCCCAAAATTAGCATCCACTCATTTGGTCTTTTCAGCAAACATGCAGTGAGCACCTCTGAATGTCACAATAAGTATTGGGAACCAACAATGAAGAAAATGTGGTCCATACTTTCCTCCAATTTACAGTCTAGTAAGGGGACAAATGTAAACCACTTAAAATGCAAATGGATTTTCATAATAATATACTACTCCCTACCTCCTGCAAGTAAAGAAGACTATATAGAGGAGGCCAAATTTGCATGTGGGTCTTGAAGGATAAATAGGGGAAGGAATCTGAGGGCCTGGTAGAACTACATGAGATACTTTTTAATCTCCAAATATGCTAAAACTATCATTTTTCTAATATGAAAGTTCAACAAACCTATCAGAATATGAAATTCATTTTTTTTAAAAATAACCTCTTGGTAAACACATTCTGAACCTCGGGAAACACCAAACCTTTTCTTTAAAACGTGCACCAACCATCCTTTGAGAGATTAACTTTAAATATCAATGTTAAATTCATTAGCATATTTTCTATAGGATTCACATTTTTTCATTACACATATTTTTTTTAAACTCAGGTGGTTATTTAGTACTTGGAAACCTCTCATATATTTACTGGATTTAGTACATCTTTGTCATATGATAGGACCTGATTTAAAAGTTGATGATTTGCAATGATTCTAGAATTATGTAGTATATCCTTGCTTTCATCCATCACCTATTTTGGGTCATAACGATGACTTATTTGATATCAGAGTCTTATTATGAAGCATAGCCCCAATCACGATATTTTTCCTAGGAGAAAATTAGTCTACTTCATAATGACCCACTTTAAGTAGCTGTTTTTCATGCTGATTGCAATGCTCTTGGTTGCAAGTAACAACTCAATCACGTTGATTGACTTCAGCAAAAAGTTCAGAGAAACCGGCTTCAGGCATGATTTGTTCCCGTCACTCCGAGGACATTACCAGGACCCAGCGTATCTCTCTTCCTTTCTTGGCTCCACTCTCCTAGGTTTGGCTCCGCAACTCATAGGCCTCCCTTTGTGATCCCCAGAGAGAGGCCAACAGCACCAGGACGACCACTGTCATTTAAGAGCAGCAGGCAGAGAGACACTTCAAGCAAAGCGTTATAATCGAGTCTCAGCTCTGATTGACTGGGCACCAGTCCTGACTCCTTCACTGTAGTCAGAGTGAGATATGCTCTGTGCCCTAAACCAGTCAAACTCAGGGAGAGATCAGTCCTGTATGGTCCACATGGCTGGGAAATTTGGAGTAGTACTGTTGAAACAGGGAAGATGGAAATGGATGCTGGGAAGACAACTACAACTGTCTGACTTAGAAATTTAGGAGAGTCGGGAACCTCAGAAATCAGCTCTCAATACTTTATATAGAGTAGATTGTTCATTATTCACTCATACATCATTCATTCTTTCACCAAGTGCCTATTAAATCTTTGCCTTAAGCCAGACAGTGGACTTAGAGCTGTGAGGCCACAATTATGGATAAGACTGGGTCTTGCCAGGATGTCACATGATGTCCCTTAAGTTCCTGCCTCCTCTACCCCCTTTCTTAGAAGCAAATGGTATCATTGGGCTGTTTCCATGAGAATAATCTTGTCCCAAAGTGTCATGTATCTGCAGCTAGTTCTTTATTCTCAAGACCAAACCCCAAAATGTTAATGAAGTAACTGAGAACAAAGCTATTGGTTTCAATTCTCAAAAAAGAAAAGCTGTTTTCAAGTTTGCTTTTTTTAAAAAAGAAAAAAGAAAAAGAAAGAAAGGCATATTCTAAACTTTTCAGCCAGAATGGTATGAACTCTATGCCTTAATCAGATAAGTTCAAAAGCCAGCCGCCATGGCTATACTTTGAAAGATTTTCTTTTGTAAAAGACCAAGTGCCAATTGAGCGGCAGATGCTGAGGCCAACAGCTCTCGGAGGACACCCTCCCAGGCAGCAGGTCAAGCAGCCACAGCTTGGGCCTGTTCTCCTAACAAGGAGTTTGGAACCTCAGAACCCTGGTCCACACCCCCCTGCATCAGACTTGCCTGGGGAGCAGATTTATCATCATTATTCCTCAGCCCTGCCTCAGGGACCAGAATCAGAAGAGTGGAGAAGGGGAGGAATCCGTGATGTATCAGGCCCCACAGGGGCTCTTGGGCACACTACTACCTGAGAGCCCCGGGTTCCAGTGGACACAGCCTCCTCGGGCTTTTTGCAGTGCCACTAGACAAGGAAAGGGCTCCATCCCCATTAAGACCGGGCATTCTGTTGGCAAGGAGGCCTTCACACTGTAGGCTGGAGGTGGGGTTGAGCTAAGAAAACATCTAGAGCATCTACCATCTTTTACTCAAACCCAGGAGTCTTCTTCCGTGAAAACTAGGAAGACTAGCAGTGAGCAGGGTGATAGGGGCTCAGTGTCACAACCAAGGGACCAGGTTCAACTCCTGGGTCCACAGCCTTCTTTAGAAACAAGTGACGGTTAGAGGACATCCCTGCAGGGTCTCTTAGGAGACGGTGTATCTGGACTGGGCTTCATCACCACCCAGGCCAGCAGCCATCCTTTGGCATTCACAGGGACTGGATTAATTCAATTACCCAAGGAGGGTAAGTCAAGTTTCCTTATTGAAGAAAAAGTACAACATTTTGTCAGTGAGCTCTGGATTTCTCAATCTACTTCCAGTTTCTTGGAGAACAGGAATCCCCTTTTTCTTTTTTATATATTTTTAGTGATATCAGAGATGAAGGGAGAGGGAGAGGGAGATAGAAAAATCAATGATGAGAGAGAATCATTGATCAGTTGCCTACCTGCACGCTTCCTACTGAGGATGGAGCCCACAACCTGGGCATGTGCCCAGACTAGGAATTGAATCGTGACCTCCTGGTTCATAGGTTGACGCTCAGCCACTGAGCCACACTGGCCAGACAGGAATCCCCTTTTTCACTTTCATACTCCTCCGTGACCATCCCCTACCCCATGTTTACCAAACGGTTTATTCCATATGAGAATTCTCTCATATGCTGCAGCAGGCCCAGGGCTAGGCAGTGCCTGAAACATAATTGGAATATTGCAGTAGAAGCAAATTCCATTATATTGTCCCTTAGCCCATAGAATGACCCAAGAAGTGACATATAGTGTTGCATTTTGCTTGTGAAATGTATTTGTTGAACAAAGAAAATTCTAGAAGTGACTCTTTAAAACTACCTGGCATATCAGTGTTATGAAATGTTCCTCAGAGACTTCTTCTCAGATGTTGTGTTATAGCTAACCTTGAAAATGAGGGACTGGGGACCTCCCTCGAAGCTGAGATAGCTTTCAGGGCCCCATTATCTTATATGGCCACCGTTGCCATTGGTTGCCGTCTCATTATCTTTATAGAGACACATAATCCAGATGGCAAACAGGCTTCTTGCCTATTTGTCCATTTCTGTTGCTCGGAACAGCACGGAGCAGATCTTGTGGGTCCTGAGACCAGCTCACCGAGACATGGCGATCGGTTAGCGATGTGTGCTACTTGGGGACCAGGAAGGAGAGGTGGCGTCCCTGGCTTGAGGGGTTTGCAGGGGCCCTGTCAAAATTGCCCCTGGCGTGGACTATTTCTGGTTGTGAGACTGGTGAGCTACAGCATTTCTCTTTATTGAATCTCAGAGGGTCCCTGGAGGACACAGCTACGGGCTTTGCCTGTTGACACAGGAGAGGAACTGTAATGTCCCTTCAGCCGTAGCCTGTGTGATTGTTAATGGCATCTCAGTCTCTCAGTCATTCCGTTTGTAATCAAGCCTAGTCGGTCCTCCTCTGCAATCAGCTCACCTTCCCACCTGCCTTTCCACCGGTGTTAGCTTAACTCACACTTCCGCCATCTCCTGTGTGTCCGTCTAAAATACTGTCTCTCTTGCTTCCCTGCCTCCAAGGTCCCCAGCAAGGCACTGGGCAATGGCCCCACTCCTGGCTGTGCATCAGAACTTCCTGCACGGCTTTCACAAGAATATTTCGGGGCCCCGTGCCAGACTGGCAGAGTGAGCATCGCCAGAGACAATGGATTCTGGGAATCTGTATTTTTAGAGCAGCTCCTTGGAGATTCTAATGCAATCAGCCCTCTTGGGACCCCTCCACTATCTGCCTTAGGGAACGGCTGGTGAGGCTAAAAAAATACAGACCTTGGAATCTGGAAATTGGCCTTTAAGTCTTGATTTCCTCATATCATCTGTGTGAACTTGAACTTGTTCAAAGCTTGGCATCTCTACTATGTTATCAGTGAGAAGGGAATAACAGTTATCTTGGAAGTTTGTTGGGAAGATTAAATGAGAAGATGTAGATAAAGGTGTCTGGCACATAGTAGGTATCCAGAAAATGGCAGCTTCTATTATTCTGAATAGTCTTACTGTTATTATTCAGAAACAGACCAGCTCATGTCACCTCCATACTCAAAACAGATTACCACCTACCTCCCCATTGCAGAGAGAAGGCCATCCGTGCTCCCTAGTGTGACCTGAAAGGCTCTGTTCCATGAGGCCTCCTCCCACAGCTGCCCACCTGGTGCAGTAGACACACTGGACTCTCACTGACCAATCAGCACATCATTCCCTTTCCCTTCCGGGGCTCTTTCCTCCACCTGTAAGCCCTTCTCTGTTCTCTACCTGCAGAAACCCCTCTTATCCTTCAGAAGAGCTCATGCCTCGCCTGCAGTAAAGTACGTGGCTCACCCTGTCTTGTTTTTCCATGTACACCTCCCTCACTGGGTCAGTCTCCCTGAGGGCATGGATGGTGACCTGTTAGTCATTGGATACAGTTCATTTGTTTATCAAATATGCATTAAGCATCTTCTATGTGCCAAGTACTGTTCTAGGTGCTGAGTAAAGTCCCTGCCCTCAAAGAGCTTACTATGGTCAAGGGAGACAAGGCACAAAGTGAACAAAGTATGTTCATAGTGATGAGTCCTGTGAAGAAACAGAAAACAGTGTAAGGGAGCAGAGTGATGGGATGGAAATTTATCCCAAATCAGCGAGCCAGGGAGGGCCTGAATGAAGGGGGAGTGAGAGCCATGTGGTATCTTCGGAAAGAGCAATCCAGGTGGAGAAAACAGCACGTGCAAAGGCCCTGAGGTGTAAGAAAGCAAACCAGCGATTTGGAATCAAAAGGATGCATGTTAGCTGGATGCTCTGGGACAAATATTTAATTTCTCTGCACTTGTTTGCTCACTAAAAATGGGAATGGCTGTGATACCATGTTCTTTTTACTGAGTTCCCGGGAAGATTTAATAAAAGATTGTTCCTGACACATGACAGGCACTCAGAGTGCTGGTTTCTGTCTCTTCTTCCTTCCTTTCCATTCATCTGCTGAGCCTCCACAGAATGCTGACTATGATTCCTAGCCATAGCACATGCTCATATGTGTCCTGATACGACTTGCAAAGGCATGCTTAGCTGAAAATACTTCCCTTGTAACAGATGTCCTTCCTTTGTCACCTCCAAGGGAGGCGTTAAAAATGGAGTCCACATAGCTGTCCAGCCATGCCCCTCACACGTAACTGAGGCATTGGCAGTGGGGAGAGACGGGGGCACAGGACTCTGGATCAGGAGCGTTGTGGTTGCAGGAACTGGCCTCTGGTTCTCACTGCATTCACCAACAGCAGCATCCCCCTAAAAAGCAGCTAGCTGGTGCAGGGGCTGGTTCAAGAGGCATCAAGGAGCCTCTCTCATGGTTTGAGGAGAGCCTGGGCCCTGCTAGGACTGTAGTGGCATGTCCACTACTCGTTCTGTATCTTTGGTCAATTCCTCCTCGTGTTTTCTCTTTGCCAAGAAGCCGCCTCTGACTCTGTCTCCATACGTGGGTACCTAAGGGACACAGCATCTCCATTCATAAGGGACAACCTAAGCTCAGAAATGTGGTGCATTACACATCTCTGAGAGGGTTAGATAGGTCCCTCTCTGTGCTGAAGTTGGGTAGTCTACACTTGATTAGGCAAGAAAGTAACCGTTGAGCCGACGGCATTGGGGAGCCATGAGTACAACATATATCCCATCAGTGCTATCATTGTTTCCACATAGTCATCTGCCCTTCAATTAAATATTATTTTTGGATCTAAGAATAAATCAGGAATTTCTGCATATGTTATTACATTTTCTGGGCTTTATATGATTGAGTTTTTAACTTTTTCAAAGATTTATTCCACCTAAAATTTAAATTCTTCCCTCTCAAGATTTTGAAGATAATAGCAACTGTGTTTGTTTTCAAGTTCTGTGTTCATGGAAGTGGAACCTGCACGGCAGCTTCCCTCTCAGGGAAGTAACCAGGCTAGCTGCACGGCAGAAATGCATTCGTTCCAGCCTGAAAGGAATCACAAAGAACCTCCTGATAAAGTGTCCTTTTCTATTTAATTACCCGCTTTCCTCCATGCCCACGCCTGGAAGTCTGTCGTTAAAACAGGATACGTGAGCGTTATTATTATTTGAGATATGAAAGAGCCCAAGGAAAAGGAGTGACAATGGGTGGGAAATAGTCCAACAGATGAGAACGCATGGGGATAGGAACAAAACTCACGAGAGCAGTGAGTCGGGGTTCCATTCAGTCACAGAGGCAGTCGTGTCTTTGTCCGTTCCTGTAGCATTTCAGAGAGTGACACTCCTGCCTAAGGTCAGTCTTCCCCTGGTATGTCAGGAGCCGTGGGCCTTTAAATTCAGGAAACCTATTATTACAGGATCTGACTACTGACATACTCACAAGTAGAATTTCATCTTTGCCACAGTCGCAAGAATTTCAGTGGTTATCTACTCTTCCAAGAAAGCCATAAAATGAACAATGCCGGTAACAATTAGGAGACTAAATTGGCCTGATAAGAATAAAAAAATCGATTTTGCCAGTTTACATTCCCAGTGACTAATTTCCATATAAATGATCTGACTTTATTCAGTGTAAAAAGCAGGCCTGTCTCCTCTGTGTGTTTGGTTTGAAATATTTGCCATTTTGGAGACGTACTCAGGTGGCACTCTTTGAAGGCATGCTGGGATGGGTTGCCGTTTTCGAATTGTAATTAACTTTTCTGTTGTTGTTTCTGGCAGTGTATCAGTTGCAGCAAGAGGCCCCTCGTCCCAAGAGGATCATTTGTCCTGGGGAGGTCAGTACTCGGCTCTTTCCAATACGTCTTGTTAAATATGATGAATTGTCAGCACGAGGTTGATATTGGACGGCTTTCAGGTTTCCTGGGAGTTGGTTTCTATTAACGTTTGTTACCGTGTCACCAAAAGCAACATCTTAATCTATATTTTGAAGACAGGTGTTATTTTAAAAATACTAACTAACTTGGAATCGAATGTCTCATGTTTTTGACCGTTGCAGAGGCAGAGCGAGCATCCTTTATAACCCCCACCCCCAAACATGCATGTGGGTTGTTTTCCTTGTTCCTGCTATTCTGATTCCTTTATCATATGTTTTATTATGGAATGCTTCCAACAGAGACAAGACAGAGCATAATAAATCTCTCGGTACTCTCAACACCCACATTTAACAAACCTTTATACTTTGTTTTACTGACTTGACATTTTTTTTAAATCTCTACAAGAAAGGTGACTGTGTCTTTATTCTCGGAGAGAGGTTTGAGCAATATGTCGACTCATAAAAATGCTGACCAGCCCCAGAACTCTCCCTACCTCTCATTTTTGCTGCTCAATCTCTTATCGCCTGGGATGCCAGCAGGACTTGAAAGGCAAGACTCAGGCTTTGTTTTCTATTTTCATTCGGACCAGTTTCTTTAACAGCCAGACTAATATCCTTCAAACAAAGGTCCCAGGTCCTTGTGTATTTTTGTTGTTGGGACTTTGGTTAAATATATAGAGTAGCTGATCTCTTTAAAAGGGGCTGGGGTGGGGGCTCCAATGCCAACCTCTTGAGATTCATTCTTGAGCATCAATTCCTTGCGGCAGCCTGACCCGGTCTGGTTTGAACCCGTCTCTGACTTAGCTACCCATACCCACAGCCAACTTTCACTAGTTAATAAATGTTTCTACATAAAGTTTTACTTCTGTTGAAAAGGCATTAAAATTCATCAAGTAATCTGAATTATATCATCCAAGGGCTATAGCCTGAGAGGGGAAAGTAGCTGACCCCTAGGGAGTTCTTCAGGATGAAGGTACATCTTTACCGGGTAGTCTGACCTTGGCCTGGCACTCACCCTGCTGACTGTTGGCCTTTGGTTATTCAGTAATAACCAAATCAGAAAAGAGGAGGATAAATACAAAAATTTTGACGAGATGCTTTCAATAAGGTGCTTTGGGGGAGAATTAAGAAACAAGGTGTTAAAAATTTCTTCTGTCCTACTTCACATCGAGTATTGCTCCATCAGAAAAAATATAGCCACGTGTCGGGGACTAGAGGAGCTGAGATGTCTCCATGAAAAGCATGTGTGTGCGTTTAGTACAGAGCTAAGGACTCTTCCTGGGAGTTCAAATAAAAAATCTCTAGGCAAGGCCAGGTAGGTTCTAAATCCACAGGGTAGAGCAAATATTCATCTCTTCACTTACTCAACAAACATATATGGGCAGCCTACTGTCCTGACGTTGATCTAGGTGCTGGGAACGCAGCAAAGAACTTGTCTGTTGGTACTCTGCATGTCCTATTAAAGGAGAACAAAATTGTGATGCATGTAATAAAGATATATTTAAGATTTCACCTGCACGTGTGTGTGTGTGTGTGTGTGTGTGTGTGTGTGTGTGTGTAAAAGAGAGGGAGAGGGAAGAAAGAGGGGGAGAGAGAGAGAGAGAGAGGGAACTCCTTTGTTTCTCAGAATCCTTGGAATCACATCAGTAGTCCTATGAGCAGGTGTAATGGAAATGGGTGGATTCAGAATAGCTTCACAGAAGCTCTCCAGGGTTCAGTTGAAGCTTCAGACCTCCAGCGGGCTGAGGGTCACCTCATGTCTTTCATGATGCAATTGCATCGGAAGGAAATGCCGCTGACGCCTTAGCAAAGCAGAGCCGTGTGCCGCAGCCGCCACCGTTCGCTGGGACTGAAGGACGTGGTGTGAGTGCAGCTTGTTTATTCTCCTGTCTGTCTTTGAAACCAGGCTTTCCCCCTGTGGACCTGTATCAGTGTCATTCCTTAACGAGTTAGCCTGGCTGAGGCTGGGTTCCTAGGCAGCTTGCCCCTAGAAATTCCGTCCCCTTCCTGCCGGGAAACCGACCCTGAGATGGGCTTTCATGGCTGCATTTCCTGGGTGGCAGCATGGGGCCAGCCAGGCAGGCGGGGGGCCAGCTATAGAGGGTCGAGTGTTCTCGCTGCTTACGTGAGTGCCCAGTGCCTGCAGGAGTGGCTTCAGTCCTCTTTGTCCTCCTGTGCAGCATGAACTGCACACAATTCCTTCCCCGATTCCTCAGCCTCCCAGGACATGGCCTCCTTCGGCAAAGGCACGACCTCTTCTTGGATGTTGGGGGAAACCATTGATCCTGCTGCAACGTGTTTGAGCGAACGCCTCTGCCTGGTAACGCACCCGCCTGCTCGGGGGATGTGCCTCATGAAGACAGAACCCTTTCGGTTCGCGTGTGTGGCCAGGGAGATTGAAGCTTTATGAACACAGTTACGTGAAGCCATGGAGGCTGCTTCTTGTGAGCAGTGAGTTCGTATTTTTCCCTGTCTTTGCCATCTCATCCCTTAGCTAGCTGTTACGAGTCCGCATTTTCCTTTTATACACAGTCCTGCTCCCCCCCAACCCCCCTCCCGCCTCAGTCCTCGGCCCCTCTCCTGCCCCTGGCAAGCCTGCCCAGCTGGGCTGCCCCAACATCCCCCATCTCTTTGTTTCTCTGATGACTGACTCCCTCCCAGGATATGAGCCCTTCTGTGGTCAGGATCCTCCCAATGGACGTGAGGAATGCCCACACCAGGGCCCACGTGAGCCCGTAGTCACAGAGGTACACACTGTCGCTCCAGGTACAGACACCAGCCACCGGACTTGGATGCTTGGTGCTGGCAGCAGCTACCAACCACCTAACGGGCTTTGCTGGGGACTCGGTGAGCCGAGGGTACAGACTGATTCCGGAGGCAAAATCCAGCGAGCTCTGCACACCCAGGCAGGGGAGCCGGCTGCAGCCAGAAGGCCTTGTTCTGAGTCCTTCCTGCAGCCCCTTCTAGGCCCCTGACCTGGAGCCAAGCACTTTCTGTCTCAGAGGGATTAAGGGATTAAGGTCCCCCTTCCCCCCCACCCCGAAGGGCAGACACCGACTTTGCGGGGCGCCATAAATGGAATGTATGCATCAAGTGTCGAGAACATGCCTGGCACCTAACAGGTACCCAGTGTTCATGATTCACGCAGATTCAGACACTTGTGAAGAACAGGTGCGGAGACTGTCATTCAGGCAGAGTCAGAGCGACGACAGTATTTTCTGAGCGTGAGGGCAAAAAAGGCGGTGATCAAGGACAAAGCAAGACGCCTGGGTCAGGCGTTAAACCACCAGGAGGAAAGATACGGAGGATGGGGACAGAGGTACCAGCAGCCGACAGCGGCCTGGCGCCAGGGCAGCCGGCGAGGGTCAGCGCCTGAAACAGCAGCCCATTGCCTTCTGGAGACTCGTCGCTGTCAATTACTAGTCACTGAGCAGCCCGGCACCTGGCACTCCACCGGCGTTTCCTGAGGGCTCCTTGCCAAGAGCCAGACTCTTCCAGCGTGCACCACGCTCGCTTGCCCTTTTCGTCATGATCCATCAGTCATCTCCTAAGCTTTTATTAATTACCACATGTGTGTCTGGGTGGTCTGCCAGGGCCCGGGCAGCATATTTTCTCCCCAGTCTGCATCTCTACCCAAGACCTCTCCCCCGGCTCCGAGCACCTCACTCCAGCTGTCTACTCGACCTCGTCATGGAGATGCCCCACAGGCCCTCTCTAGCCTAATGGTCAAAACAGAATAGGACCCCACTCCATTCCATGGCTCCTACCTTCAGAAACCTGGGCGCCTCTTCCTCCCCCACCCCCTTATCTCTTAGCAGTCATCAAATTCACCTCCAAACAGATCTTGCATCTGCCCGTTCTTCTCCATCTCTGTGACTGTCACGTGGGCTGGGCCATTCTCCTTTCTTGACAGGATTATCCCAGGTCGGCAGTCTCTTGCCTTATCTCTCTGCTTCCACTCCTGCCACCCACATTCACACACACACGCCACTCACCAAACAGGAGTCCAAATCATCATTGCTAAATATAAAGCCAGTAGTGTATTTAAAAAGCAGTTGTCATTGCTCTTTAAACAAAAGCAAGACGTCTTCTGTGCCATGAGCCACGGCTGGCTCCTGCCTTTACCTGTTACTACCCTGTCGATGCCATTCTTCTCAGTGTGCTGCCTTCCAGCCCCACAAGCCGTGGCTCTTATCAAACAAACCGCAGCACTGCTACTCAGGGCCTTTGCATTGGCCCTCGACCTGGACTTCCTGTCGTCACGTTTTCTGCATGTCCAGGTGTCAGATAATATTTCACCTAAGCACAGAGGCCCTCCTGAACCCCATAAGCATTAGCACCTACAGATGCCATCTGTCATATCTCCCTGTGTATTTTGTTTATATACTCAATACACTCTCTAATACAGATTGGGGCAAAAGTAGGTTTACATATTTTACAATAATTAATAAATAATTTGTATATACAAATGTATATACAATAGGTACCATATAATATAATATATATAATAACAATATATAATATAATACAATATACAGGGCGACCCCAAAAAAGTATACACACTTTAACAGCTGATAACTCAACTTTGAAAATAAACACTCCCCTTATAATTATTCAAAGTGAGTGTATACACTTTTGGAGGCATCCTGTATATACAAATGCAAATGTATATACAAATACAATACAATAATTAATAAAACAAGACTAAACCCCTGTGTTTCATGTACTCACAAACCTACTTTTGCAAACCTACTTTTGCCCCACTCTGTATACTTTCTTGTCATCTTTCATTGTTTACTTGTTGCTGTCCATCTCTCTTTGGGAGAACACAAGCCCCAGAGACTTCATCAGTCCTAATCATGGGTACTTCCTTCACTGGCATTGAACACAGTGCCCGGCGGCAGTGAGCAATCAGTATGGTAAACTATGTGGTAAAATTATGAAAAAAGGATAGAGACCACG